AGTAACTGAAAGGAGTAAAACTTAAAAGGGGGAAATCAAAATAGAAGATAATTAATTTTTTACTACAAAACGGAAAGTTTTGGGAGGGGAGACCCAAAGAAGATTTGCACAAAATTTCAGTTCTCGTTCTTGTTCTGATCAACAATAAAAGTTAACCAGCTCTGATTCTTGCCTCACTGCTTACTTTCTAGATAAAGTAACATTTTGTAGGTTGGTTATCTAATTACTAATGCTAGTAGAAATGCCAATTAAAAGGTTTTAACTGGTTTACTCACAAGTAGGTTTCAGAACACAGAATCTGATCACAGAAACCGGAGCAGGACTCTCACTGTACAGTAATTCACCAGCATTTCCACTAGGAAGCGTGGTTAGGCATAAAAAAATCCCCATAAACAATTTTCTGTTAGGATCCTAAAAATGCAGAATCCTGAATTTTTAGAGGCAAAATATGTATGAGAAAAGACTCCAAAGGGTTGAATGTCCATGATAGATTCGGTAGTGCTGGAGTGACGTTGTAGCCATGGTGGTCCAGAAATTAGGTGAGGCAAGGATTTTTGTGGGTAAACTTTATCCTAGCCATGAAGTTGATCCAACAGAAGATGTCATCCATAAAAATCCTTGCCTCTCGCACAATAGATTAGACACTTTTCCGAAAAAAAGGAACTTGGTGCATATGAGAGGGAGGCCATTCCAAATATCTGGGGGTAAAAGTTGGGAAGAAACTAGAGCAGATAAAAGATATAAATGGCACAACTAGGAGTTAATATTCAAAACCAAGAACACTTCACAAAACTATATTTATCTGCATAACAGATCCACACCAGAAGACATGCAGTTCCTAGCAGGTGTCTCCATGGACATGCAGGGAACGGTAGCTCTGAGGACAATGCTGCAAACTGTTATCCCAATACTCTGGTATCTCCTCTTCCCTCCTCTCCCTGTCCCCAGCACTCCCAGGTCCAGTCTCTAAACTCTTAGTGGGAAGGAAATAAATCCTGTGATTCTCTTTCTCCAGGCTTTTGAGCAAAGAGACATCTCTTCCCATACATCTCAGTCTGCTGTAGGGCCAGTGGGAGACCCTATCCCATTTACTTTTATGAACAGGACTGAAGAAAAGAGTTTTCTCCATGCCTTTTTAAAACCTGATGCTCAGAGCTATGGTAAATGGATCAATGCCTCTTGATATTCCTCCTGGCTGTTTGTGTGCAGCCTATATAAAGGGAAGGGATTGCCACATGGGCTAGGTACAGAAATTACACATAAACCAATCTAAGTGACTGGAAACTGATTCAAATCCATAGCACAACAGAAGTTCAGTGCATATAACCCACTTTCAAAATGGTTGAAATCAATTAAAAATAATCCTGGATGGAAGTAGTATCAGACTTAACTGATTTAGGTTAAATCAGTTTATTGAACTTCTGTCCCAGATCCCTTCAAGATTCAAGTTAAGTCACAGTCCCCTAGCATCCCAAGATGCTTTCCATCTCCCCCACAGCCCCCTGCTTGCAGTGTGGGTGGGCTAGCCTTGACGAAAGCTGCCTGCTTCAGCTGAGCAGTGAGGCATGCTTTAGTGGCCCCCAGCTTCTGGCTTGAGCCACTGCAGGCATGTGGCTGCATTTTCAGAATCAAAAGTGAATGTCTGTTCACTATGCAGTTTAGACCAACCTGTGAAGATTGAATCGATTCAGCCTCAGGCCTGTTGACTGTCTGTACTGAGCCATGAAGATGGAAATTGTGGTCCAGGAACGTGGACCTGCCTCCAGGGCTGGACAACATAAGCCTCTGTAAGGAGCAGGAGGAGTAGCAGCAGCACCAGCCCATGCTTCTGGAATGAACCTGCACTTCCAACTGTTATTCCACTTATGGCACTAGCAAAGAAACCTTGCAATACCCGCCCTGTAAGCTGGGGATACAGGCACTACATTTATAGGGAACTAAAAGCAGACAGGTTTAATAATTTGCCTTTAGCTTTTGGAATAAGTTCATGGGTTGAGGATTTACATGGCGGGTGGGGGGGAGAAGCTGTACTGCTTTTCATGTATATGGGGGTACATGTATATGGAAATGGGGATACATGGCTGGGGCAAGTCCATGGCGAATTCATGCCACAGCTAAAGAACAACTCAGGCTTTCACCCTATTCCCCAGCCACAGAAGCAATCATGGGTTCACAGCACAACTAAGCATATGCTTGAGGGCTTGGATACGGGCAGTGGAGGGTTTGTGCAAGATACATGTCGGAGCATGAGCTAAACCCAGAGCATAGGCATAACCTGAGAGTAAAACAAAAGCAGCTACATGGGTTACAAGAGTCATTTGATCAGCATAATAGGGAGAAACCCCAGCGCAGCTCAAGTTTCCCATTTGTTTACTTTTTAATATTGTATTTTTGCTGCAGGAGCCCACACAGGCTTCTCAGGACAGACTTTCCCAGGCCCACTTATCCTGGGACAAAGGCATATACCAGAGGCTCTACCACACAGTTTGTGCAGAATCTGGAATTCTGCAGCTACTAAAAAATGGCCTGTAACAAGATCCCCTAATAAGGCAAAAGTATGTTCTAGTAGTTTGTAAAGCCCTGAAATAGCACAGCTTCAGGAATGTCGCAAGCAACTCCACATCATATAACAGACATCACTATGAACACCACGGTTGTATTTCCCCCACAATATCCAACCTGTGCGCTGCAGGCAACAGGGCTGCTATTAGTCTGAGGAACTGACTTTCCTAATGGCAGTGGACTGGGAATAAGATGTTGAGATCTAGTAATTTTTCCACTTCCAAATGTTTCTTTTCCTTTTCAAGCCAAAGCGATAGGGAAAAACAGGTCAGAGGGTGGATGAAGAGAGGACAGAGTCAATTTGACAAGCAAAACCCTGTTGACAGAGCCAAATTCCACTTAGAAACCATTGACAGACAACTACCTTACGCAGGCTAGAACGTGTGCCCTAAATAAGATAAAGACAAAGATGAAGGCCTAGCCTTAATATCCAGCCAAAAACGTTGTAACATGCCGAGTTTTAAACACGGCTCAGGTGAAAAAAATGAAAACAGTTCCCATGACATGGTGGAAAGACCCAGTACAGGCTGGGCTTTGGACACAGGCTACGTATACAAAGTAGCTGGGGTTGTGCTCTAGGCTTCTGGACTAACAAATGAAACAGTGTTTTCAAATGTGAAACCCTTTGGATGCAAAAGCATCCCTAAGGCAAGGCTAGCAAAAAGAAAGGCGTCTATAGAAAGCAAAATTACAAACGAGTTACATCTTCCACTGATTTAATATACACAGTATGTCATGCTGATTTCGGGCTCTTGGGTGAGTCCGTATAACCATAGATGGTTTTCAGTAAAATACAAACAGACTATCTGGACAGTTTTTAAAAAGACTATTGAGACACAAAGATTAGCTTATAACCAGAATAGGCAGGCTGGACCAATGCTTGAAAAAAAAAAAAGGTCTAATTGACCCTGCCCTGCATCTGTGTATATTATATCCTGCTAATAGCACTTGCAGGATAATAACCATGTTCTGCTTGGGTAAGCAAGAAGGACAGAACTGGTCGGCTGTGAACAGAGGGACTTGGGACTGAAAAGCAGTCTTGCTTGCAAAATGGCTAAATGCACCTATGATAACTTGAACATCCTTTCATAAAAAGACAAAACACAAAATGGAAATAATTTACGTCACCCAACCAATTTTCTCCCCATCAGCAAATCTGGATGAAACAATAACACATAAGAGATGTGACAGTGATTCTGAACCGATTACCGCCAAGCATACAGCCCACGGCTTTTCTTGGTGACTGTCTAATGTGAGGCCCATCTCAAAATTAAAAAAACAAAAAACTTCTTGCTGCCCATTATAAAAGCAGCTTGAATAAAGCATGTATGTTTTTACGTGTAGAAGAGAAACTTGATTCATGTACAAATTAATACATTAAGCTGGCATTCTTTTCTCTATCTCCAAATGAAAAGGGGGCCTTCCATCACGTTTTCCCTCATAGATATCTCAACTTCAGACACTTCCCAACTCTACAGGTGAGCTGATGGCAGTCCTCTAATCTGTGTGTGGGATGCTGTAGTTAAATGCCATTTAAAAATTTCAAAAGTAAAATAGTGGTGCAGTTTTATACTCAAATCTGAGCATCTGATTTAGGCTGGGAACTGTTCTATTAGGTCTTATGAGTTTGGAGTGTTGAAAAATGTGACCAAAAACCCAGGACAAGATTCCTCCTGCATCAGGATACTGTTTTTTTTTTCTGTAAGTACTCATTTACACTCTATGCATAACTCAGTGCTATTATTTGTACTAGAGTAGTTTCTGTCATGTTAGGTACTGTACATACATGCATACATACAGAACAAAAAGGCTGTTCCTACCTCCAAATCCTTCTAAACGTTCTGAGTTCATCTCCTCCCCCGGCCCCTGCAAGTTCTGATGGGGTGGAAAAGTTATTGTGTGGAGGAGATTAATTTCCCTGTAAACTGTTAATGAAATATAATGTATAATGAAAGATACAGTATATTTGTGCAGGGCTGCAAGCTTTTCCTTAGAAATTTCAAAACAGATCTGGCCTACCAGAAAAATAAAGCAGGGTTTTTGCTTTAAATTAAATCAATTTAAATAATGATTTCAATCACTGGTCAGGAAGCCTTGTTTTAATCACTGTTTTCTACAAAAAGTGCATTCTTGTGGTTTGATATCAGCTATTCACTTAACTTCTTGAAACTTGGCACTTTTAGACTTGGCTTTACTGTGTGTACACAAACTTGCAGAGAGACAATAGGGCTGATGGGTGGGTAATCAATCAGCCCTATTATCTCTCATCTCCATATACTGCTGTTAACAAGGATGTTATCTCCGGATAAAACAAACTATCGCTATGCCTGAAGAAGGGTGTTTGTACCCAAAAGCTTGCAAAGAACAATTTTTCCAACTAGTTAGTTGGTCTAATAAAAGATATCACATCTACCCAAAGAACCTTGTCTATGATCTCTGGAGGCACAAATCCACAGTTTGAGAACTGAAACTAAGCATCACAGAGATGCTTTATGGGATCTTCTAGACTGAGCACTGGGTCCCATTGGGTAGAGAGGTTTTCCTTAATCTTGACTAGCCTAGAGAGGAGCCTCTGGGAACCCCATGAGATTGGGCCCCTAATATAGTCCATGGCCTGTTGTGACCTATTTATAAAACTTCTAAAAGGCTCCATGACTATATCATCTCCAATAGTATATAATTAGAAGTTATAAACCCTATTTCATGATGATATCTTTGATCTTAAACTTACCTTAAATTAAAACTATCTTTATATGTTTTTTAAAAGCATCTTAACAAAAAAAACCCAAAATACAATTAAATAAAAAAACCCGATTTAAATAAAATATCCTATTTTAAATTTAAATAAATAGATGATTTTTATCTGCCCTGCAATAAAGACTGAATGCTACTTCTTTCCTATGTGCAAATAAAAGAGTATTAACTGTAACTAAGAACCACAGAGTTTGGGGCAATCTTATCATGACCTCGTGAATCCACCTTGTGAATCTACTTCTCAGCAGCTTCCCACTTGAGACTAGATGCTTCCCTTCATTGTTATGTTGACTATAAAAATCATGTCTAGTAATGCAGACTCATATCTTATATTCTCCATAAATATTCTTTGGAATAATAATAATACAAAAATTGGGTAATCTGCAGCTTCATTTGTACCCTGTTCTACAGAACTTAAAATTACTAGCAGAAATGCTCACACAAACAGCTAACTTTTTGATAATATTTTCAGAAAAGTATAGCTTTATTTCAAATATGGGCAACATATATATAAAATTAATTCTAAAGAGTTCTCACGTATAGTCAGAGAAGAGAAATCAATTCCAAACAAAACTAACAACTTACAGTAAGTGACTCTTGAGCAAACTATAGACAAAAAAAATCTGAAGATATTCTTCAGAGACTGTTCTACTCTCATATTCAGAAGGTCAACTAAATTGACAAAAATTATGTGGTCTGTGTTATTTTATCAACTTTCATACTTACAAGAAGTATCTGGGAGGGTGGGAAATGAGAGTAAATGAAGAAGATCTATGCACGGAAAGTGAACAGGATGTTCTTTTCTAAGCTTTATATCCCCCAAAATAGAAGAGGTTAGGCAAATACATTTGCCAGCGCAGCATTTTGTGTTACCAGCTCTCAGTAGAGGAATGTCATTTTACGGTCACACGTCAAGCATTCTGAAGGGGAACTACTTAAAAAAAAAAATTGAAGTTAAAGACTGAAGGAAAGTTCTATTAGTCCATTTCTTGCTCATTAATAAAAAGTAGGGGTGCACTGATAAAGATTTTTGGGGCCGATATCTATGGCTAATTTTTAATAAGTCGTATCGGCCGATACTGATCCGATTGCCGATATGGAGGTCTGTCTGGTAAGTCTGCTGGGGAGGAAGCAGTGTGGAGGCGGGGGGAGATTAAGGCCCCTGCAATGAAGGAGGGAGTGGGGCTGGGGCAGGGGCTGTGCAGCTGAGGCAGAGTTCGGGATGGAGCTGTAAGCGGCTCATCTGGGGGACGTGGAGACAGCTCCCGCCACTCCATGCACCCAGGGAGGGCATGGGGGCGTGTGACCCCAGATCTGCATGTGGGGCGAGGGCGGGCTGCCACTGTGGGCTGGGGTGGCACTGGGCTTTTCCCAGTGGGGATGGGCCGGACTGCACTTAGGGCGGGCAGTGGTGGCACTAGGTGTGGAGCTACATGGAGGCCTGCAGTTACCAAAAAATTTGCTGTAGCCCCTCTCCCAGCACCGCCACTGCCCACCCTGAGCCCCACCCGGCCCAGCCACCCACTGGGAAGAGCCTGGCACTGTCCCCATCCCCAGCCTGCCCTACCCCATGTGCAGCTCCAGGGGCACCAGCCCCCCATGCCCTCCTGGGGTGCATGCAGCAGCAGGAGCCATCCTCCTCGCAGCTCCCGGATGAGCCGCTTGTGGCTCTGTCCCGCGCCATGCCCTGGCTGTTCAGTGCCTGCCGCTGCCCCTGCCCCAGCTCCTGCCTCAGCCTCAGCCCCACTCTCTCCCTCACTGCAGGGGCCTCAATCTAGCCCTCCCCACGCTCCTTCCCTCACAACAGACTTACCAGACGCACCTGGCTCCTTTCCACACTGCTAGGCTGCGATCTTGGGTGCCTGCGTGCTGCGCTGTGCCTGCATTTATCAGCCACATTATCAGGCACATCAGCCAAAAAAAGCCAATTGCCAATACCGTCAATTTTCCTTATATCAGTGCCGATTCGATTTGGGGCTGATATATCACTGGATCGCTAATAAAAAGTAATGCTTATGAACATTTCTTTAGACTTTCTTCCTTTATTCAGGATCAGTGGGCCAAACTCAGCTTTACAAGACTATTTAAGATAATCAGGATTATAGAAGGTGGTTTTATTTGCAGTTTAAGTTCACTGCAGAGTCCTGAGTCCACACATTTTCTATAAGAGTTAGTCACCTTATTTTTCTTCTCAATTTGAGCCTTCCCTGGAAGGAAAGTCCATTTTTAAAGGCTGCAATTCAAGTACCATAATTTTTCTCTTCCCTGGAGCACTTAACCAGCATATCATTTGGGGGTTTAGACCCTCATGAATCACTAGTGTTGAGGTAGCCCACAAAAATCATAGTTTAGAAATAATTCCTTAAAAATTGTGAGTGGGAGATCTTTTGTTTTTCTTGAACATGGGTTTTTAATTCGTAGCCTCACTCCATTTTAGACTAATCTAAAAGCAGTGGCCCCTGTGCTAGATTTGTTTATTCACTATTTAATTAAATAATCTCTTCTAGTCTCAGTCATAGCTTGATTCTTAAGAATTTGCCAAAAAGAATTACTTACAGACATATCCAAGACAAATATTAGAGATAAGTAACTTAACTAGATGGTGCCTTGATAAGTGGTAGGATCAGTGAGGAAATATTATTCGTGTCAGTCTCTGACAACCAAAAGTCAAGACTCAAAGTATAGCAAGTAGTGAAAGGGCGCATCTACACGAGATGCTAACAGAGCAGTAGACCAATAATACTACACAGTAGCGCATCATAGCGCAAACAGTGCTAATACGCTACTGCACAGTATAATTAGGCTACTGTGCAATAGCATCACTTAAAAGGCATTCACCGCAGCTACTGAGCAATAACTCCAGTTACTGAACATTCATTTAGTGCTTGATTATACAAGTACTAAATTAAATGCACAGTAACCGCTGCACATTTATGAATGTGTCGACGCATCCAAAGTGAAGTATGCAAAAGCTATCGCAGAAGAAATGTAACCATGTAACTATAACCTCATGATTTTGTGTGTGATGTAAAAGCTGCAATACGCAACAATAAGGGGGACAAGCCAATTTCTCCAAATCATAAGTAAACTCTGGGACTAAAATGAGGGATAATTGAAAACTGCTCGCCACAGATAAACAATGAAAATATTTACATCTAAAAATACTAAGGACAGAGCATAATTTATAATATGAAATCATTTCTCTTCAGGACAATGTCACTAGATACAGAGTTTTAATATATAATTAGCAGTTTTATGTAACCGACACCTGTTCTGGGTCATATAAACTAAAATCTGAAACTGCTAATCTTATCTAAGATCACATTAGAAAATTAATGCAAATGAAAGTTACAACAGGGGACAGTCACTTAAAACTTATTCTTCTTTTACTTTATGTCGTTTATTGAAAACAAACACGAGAGTCAAACATCAATTGTAGCAGGACTACAAAGGGCAGTAATTAACAACAGGACAGAAATGTAAAATGTACTTTGTATCCTGCGCAAGGAATCAAAAATAGCACCTGCTCTACACATACATTTTACTTTTATTCCTGAAAGAATTTCTATTAGTAAGTTTTCTGTCCTTAATCCAAAAAAATCATAGTAAAGGAAAAAGGAAATGTTTCTTCAGCAAGTATTACTCACTCCAGGACCTCAAGGTACCCTGCAAGAGCAAGTGAGAAATTAATTGCTTTTCTCAACTGAAAAATGGGAATACTAAGGCACATAAAGGTAATTATTTCTAAAGTCAGTGGCAGATTACCTGTGCACCATTCTAGGCAGGCTCATGTTCCCTCCCTGAAAGGGTCAGAAACAATAACTCCTACAGCACTACTAAGATGAAGTAGATAAAGTCAAACCACTGAAGGCTCCCTACCTGGTCTATAATGCCTTCACTTTGACAGCAATGGCCCTGCTCTCTCTGGTTTTCCCAACATCCTGACTTGGCTTGGCTTCCTTGACTGCAACCCCAGATCTTCCTTGCAACTCAGCACCAGTTCTCCGACTCCTGGTTTCTGACCTCGGCTTACGTCTCAGACAACGTTTCTTGGCTCCAGTAACCTGTGCCCCTGCTTGGCTGACCCCCAGGTTGCCCCTAATGGCCTACTGCAGGCCTGGTCACCTACATTCCCACTGAACCATCACACTATTCCAGCACGAATGTACAGCTGGCGGGTGAGGGGTGAAGCGAGAGGCAGGGGCAGGGGGAGAAGGAGGGGAGTGTTGTGGAAGAGCAGGGAAGGGAGATGCGGTTTAGTGGCAAAACACAGCTTATGTAGGACATCCAGCTTTCTGTGCCTTTCTCTTCTGGCCCTGCATAGCAGCTTAGCCAATGG